TTTTGAGTTATGACTTTTTTTTACACCGAAGTTGAGTAAAATGAGTACATTACCAATTTACAAATTTTTTAAATTTTTACTAGAATTTTTTTTAGTATGCAGTTTTGTAGCCCATTCAATTCTAATCTAGTAAAGTGCAAATTTTAAGCGATTGCAAAAAATTTTTAAATTCGTAATGTGTACTCATTTTACTCAACTTCGGTGCAAAGAATAATCATAGCTCAAATTATTGTAGAGTGCTCGGAGCTACCATTGTGATTTTTTGTAATTTTTTTGAGATAGCATATTTTTAAAAACTAATTTTTTGTCAAAAAATTTTTATTTAAAAAGTTTTTAAGAAAATGTGAAAAATTGTCTTTAAAATTTAAAGCTTTTTAGTCAGATTTTTAAGAATTTTTTGAGTATGGAATTTTCTAAATTTAATATTTTTTGTATAATAAAGTGCAAGTTTTAAGCGCCTGCAAAATCGCGTTAACTTTTAGTATTTTTTTCTGACGGCTTTTGTGGTTTTTTTTCATAAAAAAGTACAATTTATAAAAACTGGCGTTGCTGTTTTTTAATTTTCTTTGCATAAGAAACGGTCTCCATAAGAAATTCATGCTTGTATGCAAAAAAGTTCAAAAAGCCGTCACCGAAAAAAAAATCTCAAAAATCAACGCTTAAATCTTGCACTTCATATACTAAAATTATTAAATTTACAAAAAATTCTAAATAAACTGATTAAAAATCTAAGAATTTTAGTGAAAATTTCTTAAATTTTTTAAGTTCTGTATATAGTTTGAAAGTTTGATGTTTATGACTTTAGTTAAAGCAAGATCCATATTTTTATTTGAAAATAACAAAAAAATTTCTACTTTAAAAACCTTTGCAAATATTTAACAAAAATCACTGCTCCCCACTGTACATACATATACTATTTGAACGAATTTTGCGAGTGCCACGTTGGGCATAGAACCCCTCAAGCCACGAAAAACAATAAATCACTTAACACTTAATCGACAGCAAAGTCAGCAAAATTAATTTTCGAAAAAAAAAAAATTTTTTTTTAAGATTTTAATATCCTACATTTAGTCAGTTGTAAATCACATTCCCGTCCCTGGTAGCAATGATAGGATAGCACAAAAGCGAAACAAGATAAAAAAATCGTAACTCTGTAGCAAAGTGTGTAAGTTTTTTTTAGTTGATAAGAGCAGAGGCGTTCATGAATATACATACATATGTACATAAGATCATTTAGACGAAGCATTTAAAGTGCGTCTGCGCTTGTTCCCTATGCTGCAGATGGTAAGTATGCCATGTGATTGATGGTTCATAAATTAGTCATTTTGGCTGGTTGTTGTCGAATTTGTCGTTATTTCGTGATAGCTGTAAAATATGTACATACATACATAGGCAAAAGGTGAAGGGAAAAAAGCTAAGCAGTGACAGCAAGCTGATTCATAAGTACATAACTTTTTTTTGATGCTTGCACTACTTTCTTGACGGTAATTTGTCGTGTGCGTTGCTTGCCAAAGGCAATATCGCTTTTCTCGTCAATTTGGGCATTCATAGGGAACCACATGCATACATACATATATATATACTATGTATACGACTTATATCAATACTTACATATATACACTGAGGGAAAACTGAAATGTTAAAATAACTCCGATCACCGTCATTTTTACAATTGTGCAAAGTTCAAGAAAACCTATTTGATTTAACATTTAAAAATGACCACATAACAATTTTAAGGTTGATTTAACAATTCAATAGTCGATCTAACTAGAAATAATTTCAAATCAACATTGTTTCAGTTTTCTGCAAAATAACTAAAAGTCATTTTTACTTCCACACTGTTATTGTTAATTTGAAATTGCAACATTGTCGAATCAAAGTTGTTTTGCGGTAGATCTTACTTTCTTGAATTGTATCTAGCAACAAAACGTACATATGAATAACGGTTCCTGGTTTACTGATCTACATTACTGCATGAAAAGAAGCTTCATTTGCGAAAAATTTTTGACGCGTGAAGTTCGGTTGTGAAAGCAAAAATTTAAAAAGGTGATAATCAAAAGATTTTTATAGAAATGGAAAGTGAGGAAGTTTTTGAAAATGTATTCTACGCAATAGGTGGCGAAGTGATTAATATAACTCCAGCTTCTGGCGAAGTGATTAATCTAACTTCAGGCTCTGGCGAAGTTATTAATACTATAACTCCAAATTCATTTCTGAGCGAGGAAGAAAACGACGACCACAAATTAAAGGCGCTTTTAAAAGGTTTTGGTATGGAAAATGTGTTTGAATATTTAAAATGTGAGTATTAAAGAATAAATAAAAGTGCAGTGTAAACATTTTGTATGCTTAAATCATTGAATCCAAAAAAAGATAGTTTTCCTGAGTGGTTTCATGAAAAATCTATTTGCGATAAATCATCTAAAGTCGAAATATACAGTGGCGAACATAATTGAGTGTATGGTGATTTTTTTTATTATTATTCATGCTATTACGATATAAACCAAACTTTATACAATATTTAGAAAATATGAAAAATGTTTAATTATACAGTAACATCGCCTATGAGATTTGAGTAAAACAAGTGTAAATTTTATGTGGCTAAAGAATCGCGTTGAGTTTTAATAACTATTTTGCTGACGGCTCTTGCGTTGTTTTTTTCTTATAAGAAGTGCAATTTATAAAAATTGGCGTTGATTTTTTTTAATTCTTCCAAATGCTCTTGTGCTTATTCTTCCACAAGAGTGCAAAAACAGTGCATCCATGCTACTGCATACCGAAAACTTTTCTAAAAAATTAGGTCAAAAAGTTCAACTTTTTCTTGATTTGTATTGCGTTTGGTTTATATGGTTTTGGTAAAAGCAAACCTCGAAAGCATTACCTCGAGAAGCAGTGTAAATATTAAAAAAAAACACCATGTGCTCAGTTANCACTGCGACTTAATATGAGTGCATGTGTTTATACTATACTTTTACGCTTCCAGGCGGCATAATGTGCTTGTGATTGTGACGTATTAGCATTGACATCAGAGCCGATATGAGTCGTATAAGTATGTATGAATGTACATACGTATAAAAGGATTTAAATGCGCCGTACTGGTCGGCAGCAGCAGCGTTGCCGTTTTGAGGAGATTTGGCAACGGAAATAACGTAAACTAAGAGCATAGGTAAATACATACATACACATCGGGAGCAAATAACTCTATATAGTGCATAAACTTATATATATTTTTACACGTACATAAATATATGTATATACAAATGTATATATATCCACCGGCAGCATAACGTTATTGGACATAAGCACGCAAATGCGTGACCAGTTAAGATAAAATCTAATAATTTCGAACTTTCGTAGTCGTGATAATCATGGCAACGTAGACGCAAACAGTATAACGAAACTACAGAGAACAGCAGAAAAACAGCCTAAGGAAATAAGCATCCAACAGGTTAGCTGGCAAGATGGATCAGTTAAAAGCAAAAGAGGATATACGTACCTATCCATACGACATTGATTGAAGTGAAATTGAAAGCGACATAGTCGATATGGATTCTGTTGATTTAATAAGCGAAATTAAGCTGAGACCTTAATCAAATGTGATGCATGAGCGACGCTTAACTTTCACCCTTTGCACACCAGAGGCAACTGCAACGCCTACGCTTCCGCCAATGCTAAGGGCGACGATGCGTACCGAAGTCAAGGATATAAAGGATGTGAAAGCTAAATGTTGAATGATTGGCATACATGCACACATACTTACATACAAAGTTCAGACGTACATGCACACATACTTACATAAAAAGTACAGACGTAAAAAGTACAGGCGTACATATGTATGTGTGAACCTTCTTCATACCTCGATGAAGGTAAAGTTCAATTAAAGTGGTAAGTTATGATAAAATATCTGTCCTCTTTTCCTCTGCTTTGTCAATCGTCTTAGTAATTTATTTATTTAATACGACAAATCGACACCTGAGTGGAAGACCGACCTATCTCGGCAACAAGTTCGAAACGCTCTATCTCAGAAAACTTTTCAAGAGCACCCTAGTTCAGAATTTGATTGAAGAATGCCCTATCTCAGAATTCGGTTCAAAAATGCCATAACTCAAATGAAAATGTATTTTAAAATGTGCTGAGCTAGAGCGTTTTCGAATCATATTCTGAGGCAGAGCATTCTTCAGCCAAATTCTGAAACAAGGCATTCTTGAAAAGTTTTCTGAGATATGGCGTTTTCTATCTGTAAGAAATTTGTGCCACTAAATGGATCAAAATTGAAGGCAATTTTCAAAAATTGTCTTATACGAAATATAATCACAACAAACACAGTCCTAGAATTGGACTTTTAAGAATACCAATATGTGTATGTCGGCCAACAAAGTTTTGCCGCATGGCGATGGTAAGAAATAGACGTCCCGAAGCTGCAGTAGGCAGTTGGCATGTTTTCAAAGGCAAAATTTGTTGATCGCAATTTTTTATACCCGAGTGCACTTGTTCACAAGGGGTATTATAACTTTGCTCACATAATGATTGTTTGTAACTGCCAAAACGAATCGAGGTAGATATAGACAAATGTATACATAAATGATTAGAATGAGAAGAGAAATCGATTAAGCGGTGACTGTCTCGATAACTCGAGCAAAAATTGAGATATCTTAACGAAACTTATATCTGTACTTCTTTTCAGTGTAGAACGGACGTTGTTGTAAATGGGCAAAATCGGATAGTAACCACGCCTACCTCACATATAATGGTAGTTTAAAGAAATACGAAATTTTCGATAAATCTGTAAACACTGAAGCTTATTTATTCAAAATTTATGTTTGCGGTACGGTACCGACGATTATTGTTGCCTGCCATGTAGCGGTAGCTTTCGGAAAGGCGAAAAAACTATACTAAATGCCTGCGCCTTTTTTTACTTGTTTTCTTTTTTTTTTTAAACTTCTACTAAAATACTTCACTTTCACTACAAAAATACTTCATAATTTTTTCGTTCAAATACTTACATCTTTATCGCCCAACCGCTCAACGCGACAATGCAAAAATCCCGTTTGCCCTACGGTCACAGTCAAATTTCGCGGCACATCGAAGTCGAAATAGGGCAGAAGATTCGCAGGCGACACAGTAGTTGTGGAAGTTGTAGTCGAGTACGAGCTCAGCGATTCTGTAAGAAAATCAAAGAAATTTAATTTAATTTAACTTAAGTGTCAAGTGTTTAATTTATGTAAAAGCAAAAATCTAAGCTGCAACATAAAAAAAATATTTAAATTTCGACAAAATAAAAACTTTCCATTGCATAAGCACTTGAAATGCTGTTCCAATTCTGTAATTCCTTTCTGCACTTGTGAGCGCAAATTTTATAACTTTAGCTGGACTAAATTTGACTTGGCTTTTTTGTTTGTCTATTTGTCGCTTTTTCCGTTATGTTGTTGGTTTTAGTCCTTCAAGATCTGCGCATTCCCACAAGCGCAAATATTTAAGCAAAGGAAATCATTTAAGTAAATACATATTAAATAAAAAAAAAAATCTTCTTCACAATTTAGATGCGAGAAACCAACCAAAAACAGTGACTTGTCACATACATATGGCACACATGCTCACACACACAGGCACTACTATATACACACATCCATTTTAAATTTTTCCAGTTGCTTTCCTGACGGGAAGAATGTTCTTTGGAGGGAAAATATTAATTTTTTTTTTGTTCCTTTAACCACTTTACGTGCGCCTGAGAAAAAAAGCTACATCCTTGCAAGCGCCACACGATGCTAAGGCGCCAAAACAAGAGATAAAACGTAAGTGAACGTATAAAAGTTGGCTGGCGACGGCTAAAATTATACTCGTAGGTGATGAAAGTGAGAGCAGGAGGCATAAACTGTCGATGAGCGTTCAAAATAACGATTTTCAGAGGTTTTTTTTTTGTTTACTGAATTTATACGCACATCCGCGCGAAATCATCGAAAGTATGCAAGATGAAAATCCCCTGAGGGGCGATACAAGTGTGCGTTAAAAGTTTTCAACATTGTTCTAGCGCGCCCGCTTAGCCATGCTCCGTTTGCTATGCATCTTATTTAAGCCTTTGAAATACTTTCAAGGTTTTACTTATTTCAACTCGTCTGCGTGGATTTTCGAGTGGCAAACAAGCTGAGTGACGAACAAGTTCAGCGGCCAAACAAAAAAAAGCAACAGCTTGAAAGAGTTAAGGCTCCGTTATGCATACTTGGCATGGCTTGAGAGCTGTCACATAAGAAATCTGTTAAATGAGCCTCGCGTGTAATCGGTTATCGAACGCACAGCACTACATACGTAGAAGTCTGTTGGTTTTTGATTTCTACGTAAAAATGGTATAGCAGTGCATGCAATGCCAAGTATGCATAACAGAGCCTTTAAGCTATTGGCCTGCGTGCGTAAACATGCTTTTAACCCATTCTTAGAAAAAACGCAAGAAAAGAATGAAAAGAAAATGCATTTTGAGATGATAGCTTATTCTTTTCACCTATCCATATGCACGTAGTGTGTATTAAATGTGTAGCCATGCACAAGGCACGTGTGAGTATTAAATTGACAGATTGCAACTTTTTAAATTTTTTTTATATACATGTATGTATGTGGGTATGTATGTATGTATGTATGTATGTATGTATATGTTGCCTATGAATTAAAAAAAAAAAATGCAACAGTCTAGCGCCTTCGTCTTGGTCTGCAGGCTGTATCAGAGATACAGCCGCTAAATTTAAACGTAGAATACGTGGTATAGTTAAGAGCGAATCCAAGTCAAAAACGAAAGCAGACACTAAGAAAAAAATATGGATAACAAAAGCGATAATAATATCGATAGAAAAATCGATAAAAATATCGATCAAAAATCGATGAAAATATCGATATCAAAATCGATGATAATATCGATAGCGAAATCCGTAACAGAATCGATAGAATTATCGTTAACAAAATCGATAAAAATATCGATAACAAAAGCGATAACAATATCGATAGCAAAATAGATAAAAATATCGGTAACAAAACCGATAAATTTTGGAAAAAGTTTGGAAATCTGAATTTTTGGGGTTTTTTGTTGTAGAATGCACAATATTTTTCTAAAAAAAAAAAAATGCGCGAAAAATAAAATAATCAAAAAACTGTTCCCTGTATTGCAAAAAGCTCGCTGTACCTAAACTATGATTGACTGTATTTCTTGTAGGACTTTTTAATTTATTTTTTTTTTTTTGGGTCACTCAATACCACGTGCGGCTAATTGGGTGATTACCTTATACGCCTAATTAAGGGTTAAATATAGGTACAATCAAATATATTATCTATCATTATTTAACTAGAGGCTGACCACAGCTCAAATTTAATTAAGCAGGGGAATATCATATCTTAATTTATTCACATCACTATGGTTATTATCACCCACACAGAAACAGCTAGTAGGGTCAACCTTCAACCAATTTCTACGTACCGAGAGGAGAGAAGTGAAAATTAATTTAAAATTGGGACGGTCGCAAAGGTTTTGCGACATTTTTGGGTTACTTTGAGCACAAATTTGGGTTCCCTTTAAACAGGGAAGCGACCTGTTCAGGCCAAACATTGTCATAGAAAAGACAAAGTTATAACGCCAACAGTGATTATATTAGAGCAGCATGCTCCATCCAATAGAAAAAAGACAAAGAAGCGGTCAAGTATTTAAGGTAGTAAAAGGTTTTGTGTGCTTTGATCTGGCATTAGCAACACCTCTAACATCAACTTGAATCATAAACGAAGAACAACTGCTGCTATCACGCTCAACAAATCCAAATCTCGCCTTTTCCATAACCTAGAAGCATGGATAATGTTGAGCTAAATTAAAAAACTTTGGGAGCTTTAGGAGCTTTTGAGTGGACTCTAGCATTTGAAGAAGTTGGCACGCCGAACTGTATGAGCTTTGAAATAACAGATATGATATTATCACTGCTATAACCATCTAATGGTAATCAAGAAATCCGGCACCAATGGGTGGATAATGAAAACAAGAACGCCAATGAAAAGAACAAGTTAAAAAAGAACTTCTCTAAATGTACCTAAGTGTTTTGGTGCCATCTAAACATATACAGAACTTCAATGAAATGACAATGAAGCCAACTAAATTGAAGATGTTGAGCAAAAATAAGAAATTTTATTGAAGAAGTAAATACCACCTTCCGCGACATTTGTAGAAAACAAATGCAAGAAAGAACAATAAAAACTGATGTATCATAAAAAATCTCATAGCATACAAAACAAACAAAATAGTATTGATGTATATATGTGAATTTACACTCAACAATAGTGGAAATATTTATTTTGCGTAGTACATATCATAGACAAAAGACAATAAAAGCAATAAATATGCGGCGACACACTCTTTTAGAGTGTATCATAAACAAAGTTGAGAAAATGGCAAAATTTGCATATGTCAGCGGTTATTCCGTTGAGGTTTACAAAATATTGCCACAAACAGGAATCTAGTTAGTGAGTTTTTATGTGTCTGCATACTAACGTAAATATGAGCATGTACATATGAGAGCAAACATTCTAGCATATGTACATTAGATTGGGTCGCCAAATTATACCACGTAGTTTAAAAGCCTACTTTAAGAGGCTATAAAATTTAAAAAATTGTGAGTCCAGTAAACAGCCAAATTTTTAGTTTTTCATTATGTATTTAATTATGACTGGATTTTCGTTGATATACGTACATCTTTCTAAGATCCCATCGACCTAAAGAGCTCATTAGCCTACTAAGTTCTAACTAGTAATTTTTTTCACCAGAAATTGAAATTTTTTGGAACCGTAAAAGCAATCAAATAAACAGAAAAGTTACACCGGCCTAATTACAGTGGATCACAAATTTTAGTTTGGCTTTTGTTCTCCAGACGCCACTATCCAATTTCTGTTTAGAATTGCTCGGTGATTCCGAAAATCGAATTATTATTTTTTCTATGGGTACGTTTTGGAGATATTTGCAATTTGCCGTTATTCAGCTTACAACAAAAAATGGTTCCACAATCACGTATATCTTACGTCAAATCAAAGCTAGTAAAATTCTCCATGAACCATATATACATCACTTACCCATAGGACTGATAGTTTTTGACAAATTAATTATTCGTTCCATTTTTTTAATTTTTAATGGGGTAGAAAATTAGTCATTAGAATTTAGTGGGCTAAGGAGCATAGCTAAACGGGAGCTTACAAATACATTTTTGGTACTCAAAAGTATTTTTTCGGCGATGTATAACTTCCTGAACTCGAGTCATAAAAAAATTTTCCATTTTGGTTTTTATGATCCCACTATCTTCGCACAGTATGCTTTAAAACTGAGCGGGCAGCTGTTTTATTGTATGGGAACCAACCCACTCTAATATATGTTTATATTAGGATACCTCACCGAAAAAAAAAAATATTTTACTAAAAGTGAATTTTTAGGGCTAAGTTAGATCGAAAATTTATATATATTTCTGAATAAGAGGAAAATTTCCTTAATAATACTCGAATAGTCGTATTTATTAAAGTTGTGAATGCAGTTTTCTACACTGAATGAAAGCTAATACAATACTTAACTAACTAAACTAAGTTAAAAGTTGTACACTTAAACGCATTTTTAATAAAAACAGTATAGCAACATACTTTAGCTTCAAAGGTTTTTATTAAGCAGAATCCAGCTGTCAAGAAAAATTACAAAAAATATTTTTCACTATTTCTGTTGCTTGATTAACTACTTTGCTTTTGCTATAACTTTTCTTAAAGAAATAAGTATACAAGCATTTTTTTCTTGAGGGCTGCAAACCGATTTAAGAAATTTTGATAAAAGAAAATTTCTTTTCTCGAAACAGCCCTTTACCTGAAAAATAAAAATAAAAAATTTATTTTATAGTGAATTGTTTCGTGCTAAGAAAAGCTTGTATTTCAAATTGGTTAAAGTAAATAATTTTAGTGGAAAAATATTAATAACTGCAAAAATATTAATCAAAGTTTTAGAAATTGACGTTACTTTGTTTTGATGATTTTCAATAAGTACTCAAAACAAACAGGTATACAAAACTTCGGTAGGATTCAGCTTCCCGAGGACGTTAAAAGGAACTATTCATAAAATTTTATGATTTTTTGGGTAGTTGTTTAATATTTTATTTTATTTTATTTTATTTT